CTTTATTTTCTTGCAGCCTTTAAAAAAACAAAAAATAATGAAATTGTCTGAAGTATAGAAAATTAAAATTCAGATTTTTATTATTAATATATCTTCAAATTTAACTTATCTAATAATATATTTAAAAAATAAATAAAAGAAAAAATTTATATTAATTAATGTAGCTGTTTTATAACTAATCATGTATTTGATTGCATCATTTTTACAAATGAGTTAAAATTAACAAGTCTTTATTACCTAGTAACAAGGACTTGCTCCAACCTCTTAGTTATTCTTTCAAGAACATATCTGGCATAAAATCATTAACAGGAAAACTGTATTAACCTTATGAGAATCAAATATAATTGAAAATTCTCAGTTTATTAAAAACATACAGTTTAATGTTATTCTTGTTCTGGTGTTCATTTTGTAATAATAATAATTTATTCAATTATTTGATGGAAGGAAAAAAACTTAAATTGACAAAATATTATCAAATTATTTTCTTTTATCTTCTTCTTTCTTCCTCCTACTGAAGATACTCACCTGATGCTGCATTAAAATATGCATGTTAAACTGAACAAAGGCTTTAGCAGCTTATAAAAATAAATTTAAAATCTAAATTCCATTAACTTTTACAGTACCCAGATCTGACATGCAAACTATCTAAAGTGTGTAATGCATTTAGTGGATCCCCTTGTCAGAAGGGAGAAGAGTGTTGATTTAAAAAAATAATAATAATAATTGACTCTTTTCTGGCTTCAAAAGATTTTATAGAATTTAATATCTTTTAATCTTGTTAATGATTTAAAAGAAAAAAAATATCTCATGTCAAATATATTTTTATACCAAGAAGCAAAAAAAATTTCTAGTTGATCATATAAAACTTTCAGTTTCATACACACACACAATTTTATACAGACCTGCAATCATTCATTGACACTGCTTGCATATAAATTGGAATCATTTTTAAGCTTTTAATTCTTTGTTTTAAAAATAAAATATTTTTGTTTTTCATTTTAAATAATCCTCCCACAGGTTGAGAGAATATAATTCTCTTATACAATTAAATCTTTTTCTGTCACAAGCAAAGAATAAAAAGAAAATATTGAAATAAAAGAATTGTGTGTAGATGCAGTTTTATAACCATGGAGGAACATTGATGATTTTAGATATGAAATGCAAGGAAGTCATGAAAACTGAAAAAAAAAAAAAAAAAAAATTGAATAATAAAGATGGAAACAGTTCAAAATGAGGCTTTGAATGATAACCACTGATGAATGGATGACTTTGTGCAATTAAACTAAGGAGGAGATGATGTCTGAAGAATGAAGTGATATAGCAATTAATGAGAAAGTAGCAGTGAATATTTGTTGATTATTTCCACTGGAAAAGATCTGTATATGTGAAAAAGAAATGAAACAATTTTATAGCAGTCTTAAACCTCATCAAGAAGCTAAAAGAAAAGACTGCTCAAAATGAAAAAGCTGTCTCACAAATTAGCAGATGGATGAAGATTTAAAATAAAATTATAGCCAAAAGAATCAATATATGCATAAGATGGAAAGATGAGATGAAATAGATTGAACAATGGAAGATTGAAAATTTAAAACACATTTATAAAAAAAATTGAGAAAAGCCTGAAAATAATAATAAAGCAGACCCATTGTAGATAAGAAATGTAAGCATTGCATCTTCTCTCTATAGAAACAGAATTAGCAAAACTTTAGCACAAATTATATTCTTAAACAGTTCAGTTAAAGACAAAAGTATTACTGATAATATAATGTACTTCTAGAAACTTAAAAATAATCATAAATATAACATTTTTTAAATATTTACAGATTCTGGACATTTAATGTTATTGATTTTTACTAGATTCCCTATTATCCACATATTTTCCCATGCCTAAGAAACCAGAGGGATCTAATAACATATCTCTGTGTATGGTGCTGTGAAATAATTTGGTACCACTAGAGCTTTCTGTTCCAATACCTAAGTTGAGAGACTGAAAAGAAGTATAAAAAATTTTAAAGATGTAGAGGTCTTTAAAACAAAAAAAAATGGAAGTTAAAACACACACACACACACACACAAAAAAAAACCTGAACTGAATCTGGCATGGAAGAGTATAATTTATATATTATTTGGATACTTCCAATTTTATGAAAATTCCGGATTATAACAGGTAAAATACTTTATTCCAAAGAGGCATCTTTTTGAATTTGTGTGGAAATTCCTAAATTAATGATGAATTATGTTTTTTATTTTCCAAGTATTTAGTGATGAGATACGTTTTAAGGAATTTCTACATTACATTAGTATAAACCAAAATGTTTACTTTCTAAAATTGGTAAATTAAGCCCATAACCTAATAATGAAAATAGAATTTGTTTTATGTAACACAGTTATTTTTTCAATATATCTGCCACCACTGATTGATACACTATAATACAATAATCTGTTTCATGTGCTTGAACATAATTTTCTTTGTTTTGGCTCAACCATTTATATTTACATATACTCTCTCTGATATTAAGTACTTTTAGTCATAAATATAGCACACTTTAAAATATATAACCCAAAACGAATGTCAATAAAGAAAATATAACATTTAAGCCCACCAACTACCACTTTCTGCTTACAGAGATGGCTAATAGGACTTAATTTAAAGATTCCAACACTTTCAAGTGAAACTTGGTTTGTCTTAATGATTTTCAATTAATGTGGATATATTTTTTCAGTGCTCTTTTTAAAACCCATACTTATTTTGATTTTATATTAGTATTAATTGTATTAATTACATGCAAAATCGAAATAAGAAAATTAATACTTAAGCTGCACTTTTTTACAATCATAAAACTCCTAATTTAAAGATTACTGATATATTTTATCAAAGTAATTTTCTAAATATCTAATGAAAAGAACATATTAATCAAAGTTGTCATCAACTAAAATTTTTTATTAAAATGAACAAAACATCATTATCATGAATATTTTTAAAGTAATGAAGTTTAATTAAGTGACAATCAGTGCAATTATCATGCAGCATTGCTATATGTAATCAACTGAAAATAATTACTACATTACATACCACAATTTCTTTTTTTCATATCAAAGAAACATTGAAGTTGGGCAGAACAGAGATATATATAAGCATGTCAAGCAAAGGAAAAAGCTAAATAGTAAAAAAGCATCACATGCATAAAATAGAAACAAGCAGAATTTTTACACAGTTTCAATATAATACAAACAAAGGAGGCCAAGAATAAAACTCAGCAGATTTTATTTTTGGAATATTTTCAGTTGAGAATTTTTATGATATTGATGAATATTTCTAGTAATATGAAATGCAAAGGTTGTACAAGATGTTCTCTATAATTTGTGTATTTCAAAGAGTCTGAAGGAGTTTCCTGAGGATTAAAAAGCAATTTTAAATATCAAGGCTTTGCTTTGATAGTTATTACAAAATATTTTCTCATATATGTCAGTTTAATTAAATAGGAGAAAAATAAAAGTAAGAATTGGTAAAATGACATAAAATGTATATTTAGACTTTAAAAATAATTTCCATTTTTCAATATGGCACAAAAAAATATTTAAATTGATATTTTATTTACAGCACTCAAGGATTTTTGTCCAGTTTCATCAACCATGAGGAAATAAAAAAAAAAATTAGGTTTGTGAAATGAAAGATAAGTAATTAACATATCCTAGAGTTTATATTTTCAAATGTTCATTATGCAAAATGAAGGTAAATATCTCTTACAAAGGCAAACACTCTACACCCTTTCAACAGGTTTATCAAACTACATGAATAATGTGCAAAATAGAATAAATTCAAATGATAAAGAAAAGATTTAAGGAGGAAGAATGATGATTTAAAAAAAAAAAGGACTATCTTCCACCTATTTGAAATGAAATTGACATGCAGAATTGCCAATATAACTCATTCAGTGGGTGCTACCTGAAGAGATCACATAAGACTAAAAGCATTTCGGACATCCAAATAATTGATTTTTGTGATCAGAGGTTAGATGCTTTTAATTAATAAAATATTTAAAAACATTGGCTCAGACCAAAAGGTTAATTAAAATTTGGTAAATTAAATCAAAAAGTTTGATATTAAAAAAAAAACAATCAAGCAAAATTCAATATTAATATAAAAACATTGCCTTCCAATTCTGTTAAAGAATGTTAATGTTATAAGATAGAATGTCAATTCAGGAGTTTAAATTCATGCATACTGATTAATTACATTGCCAATAACATTTTTTTTCTAGAAGCAACATCTTAATGGATTTTGCTTACAAAGGCACAAAAAAACCCAAAAAACACACACACAATGCTCAGAGCATATGATCAACATATGTAATGAATTTATATACTTTTTTTTTTGTATTCCATCCATACAAACAAGTGGCTGAAACTTTAGCATTGCAGAGAATAAAATTAGTGAAATTATTGGAATATAATTTTTCCTAGAATTAAAGATACCATTTGGAATTACAATTTCTCCTCATTGTAAGTATTTTGTATGAGGGGGTGCTGAAAATTTTGTGGCTGACCTATGTCACAAAAATCAGTATTTCAATGATGAAACATCAGAATGCTGTTTGTTTTTTCTTTCCTTTTTTTTTTTTGTAGGTCAGGCTGAGTTTTCATCACCCTCTCATTTTCTTAAATTCTCAATAGATAGGTCAGCATTTTTTTTTTTTTTGTACCATGGTGTCGGTCATAGTTTTTATAGACTTGAGTGACTTCTTAAAATGCTTAATAAAACTTTTTTTAATGAATTGACTTAGCATTTGGTGCTAAGGGTATTTAACTACACATACACACACACACACTATATGAAGTATCAATCTCCATATATTGATGTACACATGCACACACAAGAATTTTTCAACTGTGTGTTGTGCATGTGCACATACTTCAATGAGGAAACATGCTGTGTGTGAATGGAGGTAAAAATGAAGTGTACAGAAAATGACCTCCAAAGCTAGGATGGAATACTGTACCTGGAATCGATGGTAACCTTGTCCTTCCTTGGAGCGGCCTTCCTTGTTGACCGCCCAGTAAAAGTAACAGCTAGGGGAGATGATGATTACTGCACACACCAGCAACATAATAGGGCTAGTGGTGTCTGTGAGTGTTGAGAGCATCATGAAGACAGATGTAACTGCAACAACAGACAAGCAACATCACATGACAAAACAGAACTTAGCAGGTGAACACAAGGGAACAAAAAGTGTTTCTTTTTCAATATTGCAAAGACAAAATTTTCTTTTTTAAATATTTGGTGTAGTTTAAATACTACTATAACATAATAAACACGTTTGTGAACTCTTAGTGAACATGGTAATATATGCAGTATTGAAATAATAGATGTCAGTTTTTAGCATATCAAATCTGGTTTGGGCAGAAAATTAGTCATACAATTGTTTTTGTTTAATGTATCAACTGTTCTGTTTAAAAAAAAGCAAGTATTTTTATTTTTAAAAATTTATTTTAATACATATATCAATAATGTAATTACTTGCTTTGTATTTATATTTATGCTAATAAAAAATGACATTTATTAAGACAATTCAGAAAACCTTTTCATTCATTATGATTGTCAACTAGAATAGCTATAGACTCTAGAGTTAATTGAAATTTATTAAAACATGCAAAATTTTGAATGGTTAATTAAGCAAAACTTTAAATATTTAGTATCCAGATAAACTAAAAAAGATTAAAAATGGTATCTAAAAACAAGTCAGATTAACAAATATTTATATTTTCAACAATAGTAAAAACAAGAGTGGCATTTAAATGACAAAGAGCATTTCCCAAAATTAATTTTTAAATTTCCAAGCATTTCATAATAGGATTAATTGCTTGGGTTAAATATTTTAAATTAAATCTTATATAAAGATTATAATTTTTTTAGATTTCATAATTTAAAAATTTAAGTCAAAATATTAAAAAAAAAAATAAAATAAAATTATAAATAACCGAATGCCAGTAAGCATAAATGCAGATATTTACATCAAATGAAAGCAATAAAAAATTTTCAACTATAACATCTTCAGAAAGATTATCTGAGATGTGATCAAGCACAAAATATACAAATGAATTCTATTTAGTTCTGATGTTATTTTTTTATTTTGGCATTATTTATATACTTAATGTGAACTAAATTTCTTATAAAACATATTTACTCCAAATAGAATTAAGTAAGGTTTATACTTATAGATGTGATAATATATTCAAAGTGTCAATGGATTCTTTTGTGTTATTCAAATTTAATCAATGAGTAAGGTGCATAGACTTTTGTGTATTTTGTGTGAGGTAAACATGAAATATAAAAAATCCATTTCTGGGAGGAGTACACATAGAGCGGACAAAACATTGCGCTTTTAGCATGGATAACATCAGCCAAGTAGATTTGGTGGACAAACACTGATTGAACAAAAGTCAGTATTGTGTCTTCCTTTCATTGGAAAGGAAAAATCCAGAACATTAAGCAACCAACATGATTACTTCTTTGTTTTGCAACATAGTTAAAGTATATGAGTGTTTTTTTTATATATACAAGCAGTCAACAATTTCCTTAAAAGATAATTATTCAGGCAACAAGTACATAACAAAGGATTTAGCATTAGTGATATTGCAATTATTTTATGCAAGGTTACTGAGACAATACATACAATCTGGACAAGTATACTGACAGTTCTTTGTATTTCATTTTTGAGATATTTTAATTATTTTGAATTATTATTTTCGTCTTGGTTGTTATACATGCTATTATAGTCAATATTTTGGCCAAGTAATCTCTGACCATCATCAGGTGTTCATTGTTTTGGCTGATATGATTGAGCCAGATCAAACAATAACTGGCATCACATACAAAATAACACAACAATCAACAGATATTCCATATTAGCCAAAATAAGACACTTGATGATGGCCACATGGTGCTTGGCTGACACATTGTCCATAAGAACATCTATAACAGTCAAAATGAGAACAATGGTTTGAAAGTATTTACAGAAAGTGATTGAGAATAAAACTTTATAACACTATTTTATTAAAATTTCAGTTTTTCAATTTTGTTAAATGTTTTGTACATTTTTTTCATTTTAAAGACAAACTTTATAATCCTTATACTAAGCGATTTTTATGAAATTTTGCATACAAGATGATTTAGAAATGCTTCATGAAAGATACCACAATCTCCCAACACCTGTCTTCTTTATAAACAATGACAGATCATTTTTTTTTAACTTAGAGTACTATGCTGTTATTGTTTATATTTCGATAACAAATGCTATTATCTAATTCTTGTTTACTAAGAAGTGTTTCCTTGCTTGACCAATATCGGAGTTAATGTATTTGTGTTTAAAGTCTTCAGCTTTACTATGGATCTAATATATTCGTGTTTAAAGTCTTCAGCTTTACTATATCAGAATTTAATGATATTGAGGTATGACAACCAGAAGTCTTTGTTACTCCTTATGCAGTTAAGTCCCTTGGATTGGTGAAAAGATATTTTTGTTTCATTCTCCCATTGTGCTGTACTCAATAGTTGGACATTCTCCAGTTAAGTAGTTCTTTTACTGTTGTCAATAGGAGTCCATGCCACCTTTATAGTGAACATTGGAGGATTGCATTGGTAAGTGTGTGTGTATATATATATATATATATATAGCAATCCTTCCTTTATGCATGTTTCATTAAAAACGACAGACAAGGTACTACGGCTAAGCTTTTTATTTAATTTATCTTGTATTTGACCAAGAGCTTTCTTTTCTGGACAAAGAGTGTATAAATTCCGAGCACTTTTGGCTATACCTTTAGCCATTATCAAGGATGATTTGATTTTTCAGCTTAATTGAGTGTGTGCATTATGTGTATGTTTTAGTGTGTTGTAGGGATGTTTTAATTTCCGAATATGGTTAGCACATTGTGGCCCTGTTCATAGTTAATATTGTTAAGAGTTGGCTTTTTGTCTTTTATTATTAAAGCTTCCATTTTTTTTTTTTTTTTACAGGTGGATGCAGTTATTATATTTGTGTTTTCTACTAGTATGTTTCTAAGAAAAAGCCAACTCTTAACAATATTAACTATGAACAAGTCCACAATGTGCTAACCGTATTCAGAAATTAAAACATCCTACAACACACTAAAACATACACATAATGCACACACTCAATTAAGCTGAAAAATCGAATCATCCTTGATAATGGCTAAAGGTATAGCCAAAAGCACTCAGAACTATAAAACATTTGAACAGTTTTTACACTTTTTGTCCAGAAAAGAAAGCTCTTTTTCGAACACAAGAAAAATTAAATAAAAAGCTTAACTGTCGTTTTTAATGAAACATATATATATATATATATAAATTATTTTATAGGTGCAGTGCTTAGTGGAAAGAACTCCATATCAGTGATAGAGCTAACATATTCAGTTGTGTGGCTATGAGTTTGTGACCCTGGGTTTCATGTTTTTGCAATTATCAACCAATTGTCTGATGATTGCAAAAGTTTTCAGATTTGACAGTATACTGTCCTCTATCTCATGACTCTTGAAAGATTTTCAGACATTCTGCAAGCAGTTTTGTAAGAATGGTAAAGCAGACCGGGATTATTCTCAAACAGGCATCAGTGACAAAATTTACTCCTCTTTGCCAGCATGGTTTGTGATGATGTAGATGTACAAAAATTAACACTTCTGAAGAAATGTGACGACAATTGAATTTTGCTAAGGAGCATTTATGTAAGCCATATACCTACTGGGATAAATATTTAGTCTCAATTCTCATAAAGTTTGTCAAAAAGAGAATAAAGAATTTAAGCAAGAGGGTAGCAATATAATGGCATAGGGCTGTTATTTTCCCATAATTGAAAGAAGACTGAATGGAATCAGTTACTGAGATATATGGAATAAGAACTGCACATCAGTCAAGATTTTAAAATGAAGAACAAATGATGGTTTAGCATGACAACAGCCTGAAACATAATCAGCACAACCAAACATTAGTTTGAAAAACATAACAAGCTACTGAACTGTCCCAGCCAGTCTGTGATCTGAACCTGATTGAAAATTTATGTCCGTAATCATCAGCTGAGTAATTTGAATGAACTGAAAAAGAGCTGCTATGAAGAGTTGTTGAAACTAATGACTACTGATAGAAAAATATTGGAGGTTTTTGTTGTGAACAGTTTCTGATAAATCTTGCTTTCAGTAGGGTATTGAATAGATTTTTTTCTCCATCTCTTTTTAAATATATTTAAATATAAATTTATATATAAATGTATTTGTTGCAGTAGTTGCTTGTATTCACTATTGCAAAAATGAATTTTGAGGTAAATACTGTTGTAAATAATGTAATAAATCTGGTTTTCTTTTTTTATTTTTCTTACTGGCTGTAATTCACACTAGCACATTCCTTTTCCCAATTCTAAAGTTTGACAACAGCATACAAGGTTCTGAATCATGAATTGTTTACTTGCAACCAAGATGATAGAACAGTAGTGATTTGTTGGCTAATTTTCCTTTGTGTGAGAGAAACTTAAGTTTACTACTGAGATCAAGCCTCCCCCATGTCTCTGTTGCATCTCACATGTGTCTGTTCTCTGAAAGCCTGTGTTGAACTATCCTCAATGCTCTCTGGCAACTTTAAGCAGACTGCCCCACTTAGTCGGCTTGCACTGTTTATATGGTAATCCAACCCACCAGCTTGTCACTAATGATATATTTATATGATTTGACCATTAATTTACATTCCTAAAGGTTTCCTTTGTTTTACAACTTGATTCTTCTCAATAATTATTCTTTCTCTAAGATCACTGACAAATAATTCTTTATGTAAACAAACTACATGGCTCGTTTGTTGATGTATATTTGCTTTAAGTAAATCGATAACAGCAACTATATTTTCTTTAAGAAGGCTGTCTTCTGTTGTGAAGAGTTTTATTTATCAGCCTGGATTCAACTCTCAATACTATACTACTTCTTTTTAATAATATCAGTGATTCATGTTCACTTCTAGGATAGGTCTTCATGTAAACAACTTAGTTTCAAGGAGTTTTATAATTTTTGATTTTGGCCAAGGAAGTAATTGTTATTTTCACCCAACTTGATAAGTGTAGCATGTGAGGATAGGGATATACCCCGTTATCTCCAATATTCAGA